GAAAAACACGTACAGAAGCATTTTGGGCCATGGACTGTGGACAAACGCATCCACCCCCCAGCGGTGGTTCGTCTCATGGGCTCAGAGAAGCGCATAATTGACACTGAGCGTTTCCCGTGTCACAACAGGCCCACAGCTGCTATATCAATCTGAGACAAAATGCTCCGTCAGAGGATGATTAAAGGTTGTTCTGTCTACGACAACTTTGAGACAAGAAGAAAACACGGTTGCAGCATACGATAGTCGTGCTGGACACCAGATTTCTGTCCCTCGGCTGCTGCAGAAAAAAACATCATATTGTCCTGTGGACATGAAGTGGCCTCTATGCCTTTCTGTACAGCAGCGTTGAAAAACTGACCACTTAATGTGAACCGCGCTGTGGTGGTTGCAGCACGTGACTCCTGAATCATACGCACTACATCTTGAGAGAGTTCCATCCTCTCAAAAGATCCTCACAGCGACCAAAACCACAGGTGCCGGCCTATTCTGATAAATTCCTGATCGTTCCTCCTGCCTGGAGGGAAGCGTCCTCCCTCCACGGCAGGTTCCACGAGCGCCCTGATAACAAATGTCGTAGGCCTGGGAACCATGATGCGTTCACGCACTTGGGGCATAGGGGCTGCCAGTCCCTCCTCCTGAGCTCGGTTCAGAAAACCGTGATACCAGAGGGAGAGAAGAAGGTGAAAGGCATTACGACCACAGGCTGTGAGCAGGCATGTCCACCCAGCGGTGGATCGTCCTATGGCTCCACGCTAATTATAATTGACATTGAGCGTTCTCTCGTGTTGCTACACGTCCGCAGATGCTGTCAGGATTTCTACCGTGTCTGAGCCCTAGCTTTGGGTGGAATACATGAGATGTACCCACTCCAAAGGAGAGCAGATTGGGTGTGCCCCACACAGCATCTGTCTCACAATGTGGCATATGGGTTGAAAAATGCATACATTTCCTGCTAGTATGTATGCAACAGTCACTTCTGTCTGAGAATCAAAAACCCTGATGATTCTGCTGCTCAAGGTCAGTGTTGAGTCACATTCAAAAATCCCGTGCGACACTCCAAAAAACATTTAAAAAGGCTGCTGTGTGGAGAGCCACAGCTTGTTAAATGTGTGTGCGTAGGTCTGCTGACGGAAAACAGCTGATATCACTCAACCGATTCTCGTGAGTTGCACTGCTGCCACCTGTCTGTACAAGCTGCTCAGCAGCAGCAGGTGTCCAGATAATGCAGAATTAAAGTGGCTCGGGCGCATAATGGAGTGTTGTTTCTCACAGCTCAGAAATTGACACTCTAAAATAAATCTCATCTTTCCAGTTCATTGGGACCAGGAAGTGATGAGAGAGACCTTGCGTTTCCTCTCCATCTGAGACTCTAGAAATTACATTTAAAACAGAATTTCCTGAGCTTCTGCTAGAGGCGACGAGATCTGTTCATAAATGACAAAAAAAACGTCACAGAGTTCCTCCACACCGGGGTTTGAGCTGAACTGCAGCGTGAATCCCGGATGAAAACGGTTCGCCCATCCGACAGGAAGTGCGCGTTCATTGCTACCCGTTTATAAGCTATAAAGCGGGCACGCATTTATGCTGTGAAAACTCACATACATGCTGATGTAAACTGGAGCGCGCTGAGTGAGGGAGAAAAAACCCACGCGCGTCCCGAGCGTGCAAGACGTTGTGTGTTGCTGCGGGAAACAGCTCATGTGTTGTGTTCACGTTGTGTGCAGCTGTTCCGTGTAACGCTTGGGAAGCAGGTGCACATATGAGCCGACGCGCCCTGAAGGGTCGTGTGTGTGCGTCCTCGTGCGACGCTTTAAGCCAGGATTGCCGCGGGGGCGCGCGTTGGCACTGGTGCGGAAAGGAGGCACCGCACGCCATCGGTGGAGCGGGGTTACCACTGGCTCGGTCTGCAGAAACACGTTCATTGTTTGCTGCGAATCACGTGAGCTTTTGAGTGATTCCACGAGCTGCAATATTAATTCAGACAAAAACCCCTTCTTCAAGGATGTATGAGCTGAGCCGCTGTGAAGCTTGTGGGGCTGCTGACGCCGCGGGAGCGCGCGTTGGCACTGGAGCGGTCAGGAAGCAGCTCGTGGCATCGGTGAAGCGAGGCTACCACTGGCTCAGTCTGCAGAAACACGTTCATTCTTGGCTGCAAGTCACGTGAACTTCAGAATGATTCCACGAGCTGCAGTATTAATTCAGAAAACCTTCTTCGAGGATGTAGGGGCAGAGCCGCTGTGAGGCTTGTGAAACTGCTAACGCCGCGGGAGCGCGCGTTTGGCACCACTGGAATGACAAAACGTGTGTCGCTTCTGCCGAGAGCGAGATACGTTGCTGAGCTCGTACCGTGGTCTCACATGAACGTTGACGTGAACGGTGGGCGCTGAGAGCTGCGTGCGCGTTTTCATGTCGTGGGGGCGCGCATCGGCACCGCTGACAGTGAATGAAAACAACCTTAAAAAAGGCTCATTCGTGATGAGTGTGTGTGATGGGGCCGCTTGTCAGATAACCATGCTGACAGCCTGGCTAAAAGACACTTCATCATAAAATGATGTTATTTCACAGTGTCATCAACACACCTCCAGCGACCGGACACCTGGTTACCTTCCATTGAGCTCTGTTTGTTGTCCTGGAGGGCCCCCTGTTGGCGAAGTCCAGGCAAACAAATGAACAACTCCTGCATCTCTCCTGAGAGGAAGGTGGAGTGACGAGCCAGGAGAACCTCTGGGACCTCGTACTCCGGCTGCGATGCGGGGGGCAGACAGCAAAAAAGGCGCACTGGTTGAGGATGACGTCAGCTGACCTGTAGACTGAGCGTACTGCAGGGGCCGACAGCGTCGTTAGCAAGCAGCCGCTACGAGAGCGGAGTGAGCCGAAGGACAGAGGGCCACCGTCTCTTCCCGCCTCTGAACGTGTACGCCAACAGCGTAACGTGTTGTTCGCTGCGGCCGTGTGGAACACATGCTGGTGAGCTCAGTTGGAGAGCGGTGTCACCATCTCGGTTATGCTAACCGGAGGCACGGGACGCTGGTCCACCTCGACATCTCACTCCAATGAAGCCTCCATCAGGCTCGGCTCCAGGGGGCACGAAGGGACTTTCCGCTCAGTGAACCCCTGCTCTGGGGATGGGTGCGGACTGTGGAGACAGGCTCCCCCAATCTACCAGGAAAGAACCTGTCTGTGGCCTCGCCCGTAGGACGTCCTGTTGGGAACACGAGGCCATATGGATCAAGACGGTGAGCCGGAATGGAGCCCAGTAAACAACCTTCCCACCGGATCATCCGAACTGGCGGGAAAGGCGTAGGACGTAAAAAAGGGGTCCTTTCATGTCAGCCGCCTCCTGGGTTACGCCGGGCAACCCCTGAGGGCGCCGTCGGCCGGGAGCGGTGTGATCGCCGATGCGAAACGAGGTGGGATTGGGTGAGCATTCACTCAGCCCCCCTCCACTGACACTACGCTCCCCAGGAGGGAATGAGCAGCAGGGGCTGCAGCTGAACGCGCCTGTCCCGGAGGAACCATCCGATTCGCTCCAGGGTCGGCGATAAGATTAAAAATACAAGATGGCGTTGTCCAGCGTGTAGTGACCTGTCACTGGGAAATATTCCTCGGCGCTTACCTTGAAATAAGACTGCTCGTCATCTTCTCCTCGGGGAGGAGAACTCACCGGACAACCGGAGGTCGACTGCCGGGCCAAGCATCCTTAACAAAGGTTGGTCATCTACACAATTTTCCTTCTTTGTTCTTCTGACAGTGCTATTTAGCTCGCTGAAGAAAAAATGGGAGCCGATTTCCCGCTCTTAACGTAATTTATACGGACCGGGTGGGGCCCACACAGTAGGTGGGCGTGGACTAAATTTTTCAGTGCTAATGCTCCGCATAACGGGATAAACCCACTAAGCGAAAGCCTTAAAGGGTGAAACCTATACGAAATAGAACTGCAGTATTTTTCTATATAATGTTACACAACATAATTCAGTATCTCCTTAACACCATGTGTACTGACACTTTTTTAAACTTTTTTTTTTATCCAGGTAGTCTCATTGAGTCACAAGTTCTCATTTTCAAGATAGACCTGTTTGGGAGCACATGGTGGCGGTTAAGTGCCTTGCTCAAGGGCCCAGAGTAGGGAAAATGAGGGTAGAGGCAGGCATGCATTTCACCTTTTCCAGACACATTTTGATGTTGTCAGTTCGGGAAGTCAAACCTATTCTATTATAGCAGGTTTGATGGAGCACTAACAGGCTTTGATGATCTATTATTGGGCTGATGGTCCTCTTTTGCATGTGAACAACTAGTTCTGGCTGCCAGCAGCACACTGGGTGGTCCACTATGATGGGGTGCTTTTTATTCTAGCTGGGTTTCAGACTGAAGAAGTATTTTGGATAAAAGACAAAACGTTTCAACAAAGAAGAATGCGTCCAGAGAACGTGACTCATCCTTGTTCGGTTAGACAGAATGTGCATGAAAAATATGTTACTGATTCCACAGAGGGGCAGCTCGGTGGTGCAACTGGTAGAGCTGCTGCCCCTCAGCAAGCAGGTTACCCTGGTTCAACTCCCAGTCCGGGGACCTTTCTGGGTGGAGTTTACATGTTCTCTCCATGCTTGTGTGGGTTTTCTCTGGGTACTCCAGTTTCCTCCCACAGACCAAAAACATGCATGTTAGGCTGATTGGTAACTCTGAATTGTCCCTAGGTGAGAGAGAGAGAGAATGGTTGTTTGTCTCGTTTGTCCTGCTTTGTGTAACTCTTTACCAGAACTTTTTTCACATGAAGAAAAACACAAGTGCTGTTATAATACTGCCTTAAAAAAATCTATAGAACTGTTTTTATGTACAATGGTCTGCAGGGTGTTTTCTTTTTAAAATGACTACGTCCATTAATCTTTAAAGCTAACCCTTGTAAAAATGGGTCAAGCCAAGCAACTTTTTCTGCTCTAGTCCATTGGAAAACTTTTTTGTATGATGGGTTCACAAGATAAAAACATCTGAGTACTGCTGCTCTATGTGATAAAGTTAGATACTTGGCGCTGAAGCTTGGAAACATCAGGCAGTCGGAGCAGGAACGTCCACACTGATCCACTCCTGGGGAAACCCTTCATCTTTCGCCTGGGCTTCCAGTTTTTACCCTCCACTTTATACTCTAAAGTTGCGCTCCTGTTTAGAGTGAGCACAGAGTCGCCTCTAACCACAGCTGTGAACAATGAACCTTTGCTGTTGGCAAAATGTCCCGGTAGGGATGACCACTGACCAGAGCTCAGATTGTAGCAGTCCATCAAGCACCTCAGAAAGTCATCCGATGGGCCGTTCCTCATGACATACAGGTTGTCTTTGTGGCCGACCAAACAGTGGCCATAGCTGTGGTATCGGATTAGTGTTGTAATGAGCTGCCACTCATCTTTCCTCAGGACATACTCGTAGATCTCTGTGGTCTCCATTGGCCTCCACAAACACACAAAAATCCTGCTCATTGTTTTGGAACAAGCAGCTCCTGCTGCTGGTCGAGGTAGGTGAGCAGCAAGTGTCCACGTGTCTCTGCTTGTGTTGTATATTTCCACACATGACATCACTGTTCGTTCATATTCCCCTCCAATGGCATAAAGGCAACCATCTACACCCACAAGGCTTAAATTATAACGGAGTTGTGCTGGGCTGGCAATCCTTGTCCAGTTGCCATTCTCAACATTGTAGCAGAAACAAGACTCCACAACTTGTTTGTAAACTCCATGAACTCCTCCAACAATGTAAAGTTTGTTGTCTAAAACAGTGACCCCAGCCAGAGAGGTGCTGGCTTCCAGTGGGAGATCTGTCAGTACTTTCCAATGGTTTTCCTTTTCATCCAGGTAGCAGACTGTCCTGGAGGCGGCGTGGATGCTAGTGTCCCTGCCGCAGCTCACGTGAGCCCCTACAGCCACAAAAACACTTGGTGTCAAAGACTCGATGTATGAGATCAGCTCAGATGGTAGGATCGTCTTGATCTCTGTCTCCAGGTCACTGTACATGTCTCGGATGAAGAGCGCAGCGGCGTGGTGAAGGTCCGTGAGTCCGAACATTGCAGCAGTGTGATACATCAGCAGACAGTTGTCGGTGTCGATGAGGTTGATAAGGTGCTTTGTGAGCAGTGTAATCTGTAAAAAAGCAGCACATTCAATCGCCTCAACAATGTCGTCTTCCTCCAGAGCCGGCATCTCCCCATGTAGAACTGCCAAGGCAAGGAGGAACCCTCGAGCACGCACACACTGTAGGTGGATCACATCCTGGTGGCTTTCCTTCATTCCAGAGCGGTACAGAGCTTGGAAATAGTCACAGCTTTGAACAAGTAATGTCTTCTCTTCAGAAAAGTGTGTATCTCCAATCACAATAGTTAGTTTGGCTGAAACAAGACCAGAGGCTAAACATGGCTGATACCTTTCACCTTCATCATCACCGGGGCTGCTTTCCTTTGATTCAGGGCCGAGAGCCGACATCACCGGTCACCAACAGTAACGCTCAAGAAGGTGAATACGACTAGAGAGGCAGAAGCATTTCCAGACGTTTTGAAACAGAGCTGCAGAGAAGAGGCTCATCTAGCAGCTCTTCAGAGAATGTCAATCCTTTCATGCTTGTCAAAATAGAAGCAACTAAAAATAGGCAAGAGCAAATGTGTCGGGTCAGTGCCAAGTTATGGTCCTCTTTGGAACAAGAGACACGATTATAGTAGTCAGCTCTGTCACAGAAAATTCACCCAGAATGTAAAACATATATGTCAGAGTTTCGCAACACTTAAAAGAAATCTCTGCTGAGATATCTGAAGACTGTAAAATATGATGGAGGTTAAAAAACTAGTAAGTCCAAAAATCCACCCATGTGAAAACATTTAACTGGGAAGCTTTTCATGAAGGAAATCGTTTGATTTATGTTCTGTTAGTAAATCCTTTCCCAGCAGCAAGGGCGTCAGAAGCATCCGTAATGTGGGGGGGACACAATGATGAGTGTAGGTGTGTGTGTGCGCATGCGTGTGTGCGCGCGTGCACGTGTGAGCGCATGTAAAAAAAAAAGTTCACTAGTGAACAAAAAAGCAACATCACATAGATTTCCTTGAATTCCACACATTTAAAACATGTTTCTCACCAAGTTTGTGTAAATTCAGCTGTGGGTTTTAAAGACATTTTAACTTTAATTCACAGCGTCAGGTCAGCAATATTTGTCTATAGAGAAATAAAAAACATCACCACTGGACTTTTTTACTTGTGTTCAACACTACTCATCTAAATGATGTTTCTCGTGAAGCTTGAGGACAATAATGTGTGGGGGTTTAAAGACATTTCAACTTTAATGCACCTGAACACACCACATCTTACACCTGCAGTGTCTTACAGCGTCACAGTTGCTGTTAAGCTAAGATGCTACAGACGTAGCGCTCCTCTCAAACATCCTCCTAACATGTATGTTTCTGATCAACCCCCTGGTCAACCACTGCCCACACTAAGCTTGCTAAACTGGCGCGCGAGTAACACAGGTACCTCCACCTCCTCCACCTGTGCGCGTTTTCTGTCGAGGCAAGAGGAGACGGTGGAGAGTTGGAGGTAACCAGAAAAACCTGGAGTGGAGTTTTAGTGGCTTGAATATTCTCCTATTAATCAAGTGGAATGGATTCGTTCACAAACAAAGAGAAACTGCGCCGCCTGAACTAATGTTATATAGTAAAAGTGGGGGGTCCAAATGAACATTTTTTTAATGTGGGGGGGACTTGTCCCCTTCACATATAATGGTTGCAACGCCTATGCCCAGCAGTCTAATAAATCCTTTAAACTGTTTAACATGGCTGAGAGTTGATGGTGTTAAAATGATTTTAGTCAAACTGTAATGTATGTGTGGACTTACAGATGAACTAGATGTTCTTTTATTGCCTTCCTAATTTGTTGTGTTCATCTGTCAGGGGATGATGCTTTGATTCCTGATTCTTATGTTGGTTTTAAACGCATTTAGGTCAGAATTTTAGCTGCTGTCGAGGCATGCTCATAAACAGCATCAAACAATGGCATCATGCATTTCAATGTTCCCTTGTATTTTTTTTTTTGCAAAAAAACAACTTTTCTCTAGTTGCTGAATGATTTTTACAAAAGCTGCTGAATAAGTTGAAACCATTGAAAAATTTTCATTGCTAAACTGTTAAATAAGTTGAATTTGATCAGCTGACACTCGATGAAAGCAGGAAAACAAATGAAAGCAGCAGAAAAGCAGCAGAAATGTGTAGTAAGGTTGAAAAAGAGCAGAAATATAGCAGAAAAAAGCAGAATAAGCTAAAATTGGCAGAGAAAGCTATGCTATTGGAATTGCCCTATGTAGGGTCTCCCAAGGCAGATTGGTCCTAGGTGATAGACCAGACAAAGAGCAATTCGGAAGATTTTAATGGTCATGATACAGCAAGGAACTTGGTGTCCCTTGCCCGGACATGGGTTACAGGGGACCCACCCTGGAGCCAGGCCTGGGGGAGGGGCTCGTCAGCGAGCACCTGGAGACCGGGTCTCTACTCATGGGGCTCAGTCGGGCTCAGCCCGAAGGAGCAGCATGGGTTTGCCTTCCTGTGGACCCACCACCTGCAGGAAGGGCCATAAAAGTTGGGTGCATGATGCCATGGGCAGTGGCCAAAGCATGTATTACTGTCTCAAGATTAATTTTGGCGGCGGTGATGAAGTAAGAGGTGTTGACTTGTGCTCCCGCCGATCTCTAACTAACTACACAAACTAACTCCAAACTTGTATATATATATATATATATATATATATATATATATATATATATATATATATATATATATATACAGAACAGGTGGAAGAAGGAAGTCCGCGCGCTCTGAACCGTGGAAACTGAGCCACGAGTTTAGCTAACGAGCTGGCCTGGTAGCTGCTTTGGCTAGTGAGGCCTGCGGAGACCCGGTCTGCTGCCGTTTGGACCTGCGAGCCGCTGAAACCGAGCTGTTACGGCGGAGACCTGGTCCGCCACCAATTGGACCTGCAAGCCGCTGAAGCCGAGCTGCAGCTGCTGGACCTGGGAGCTATTACAGTGGAGACCCGGTCTTCTGCCGTTTGGACCTGCGAGCCACTGAAGCCGAGGAAGCCGGACTACAGCTGTCGGATCTGGGAGCTGTTGCAACCAGGACCCAGTCTGCCACAGTTGGGCCTGTGAGCTGCTGGACCGAGTGAATCGTGAGACCGCGTGGGACCTGGGGGTTGTTGCCGCTAAGCCTCGCTAGGCCTTTGCTAACAATATAAGCCTGTGAACCTCGTGGCTAGATCCTGTGCTTCTGAGAGTTGATACCAACAATCCAGAAGTATCATAAGTAATGCCGAGCAAACAAAAAACAAGGAATCAAGAGTCTGAAAATAATTCAGAAGATATGGAGGAAGTTAAAAAATCTTTGAACTTTATGAGTGCTGAACTGACTAAATTGAGTGCTGATGTGACTAGATTATCAGCTAAATGTAAATTACTGACAGGACTGTCTGAAGAAGTGAGACAATTGAAAGAACTGATGACTAATAAAGACAGAAAAATAGCTGAACTGGAACAAAGAGTAGACATGGAACAATACACAAAAATAGACAACTTGGTGATCACTGGACTGGAAGTTAGGAACCGGACATATGCAAGAGTTGTTGCTGGTACCAACACAACAGAAGACGTACCACAGGAAGAACTACAGACTCTGGAGGAGCAAGTAGTGAATTTTTTACAAAACAAAGACATTGACATCGAACATGAGGACATTTCAATCTGTCACACACTGCCCAACAAATCAGATAAAGCCAAACCATCCATAGTCATCAAGTTCATTAGCAGGAAATCAAGAAACAATGTGATAATGCAAGCAAAAAAACTGAAGGGAACAAATGTTTACATAAATGAACATCTAACTAAAAAAAATGGAAATATTGCACGTGAAGCAAGGTGGTTGAAAAAACAGAAAAAAAATAGCATCAACTTGGACAAGAAATGGAAACGTTTGGATCAAAATACAGGAAGGATCTCAGGCTAAAATAATAAAAGACCTGAAAGATCTGGAAAAACTAAAATGAGCTCAGGAGAGGACAGATGATAAATCATTGACACAACTTCACAAACAAGAAATTAACAAAATATAAAATGAACAAATACATTAAAACACGGCAACATACGAAGACTTAGAGTTTAAAATATAAAATGTTGAAGATGCGATTGATACAAATTTTTTCCCTGAAATAAAAGACTGTGAATATTACAATGAAGAACAGTTTAATGACATCAATATAACAAATGGAGGTCTCTCTATTATTCACTTTAATAGTAGAAGTTTAAATGCAAATATATCCAAAATAACAGATTATTTAAAACAGCTAAACAGAACTTTTACAATAATAGCACTGTCAGAGACATGGCTCAACGATGAAAACACAACTAATGTTCACATGGAAGGGTATGAATTATATCATGTGAACAGAAGCAACAAAAGAGGTGGTGGAGTGGCTCTATTTGTTAAAAATGAAATAAAATGTAAATTAATTAAGGAAATGTCAATAGTTGTTGATAACATCATGGAAATAATAACAATAGAAATAATAAACAAGAATGATAAAAACATATTGATAAGTTGTGTATATCGATCTCCAGGATCAAATATAGAAATATTCACTGATAAAATCGTACAACTATTGGACAAGAGTTTTAATAAAAGCATTTTTTTGTGTGGAGACTTTAATAGCCATCAGCCTAACAATGGATCATTAGCACCTGATGGCTGTTTACTGTTCACAGAGGGCTGAGTGATACTAGCAATCACAGCATTGTAAGAGGGGGACAGTTGAACCCGGAGGCCTCCACCCCTGTTTAATGATGGACGGTTTCTTTTCACAAAGATGGCCTCCTTTACTCCTCTCTCAAACCATCGTTCCTCTCTGTCCAGGATGTGAACATCTTCATCCCTGAAAGAGTGAC